AATTATTCCCTTGAAATTGTAATTGAGATTATTAATTACGATTAGCACAATTTACATTGAATGATGTTTATACCACTGTTTGATGCAACTGCATGCCATATTTTTTTATGAAAATAAACAAGCTGAAAACACTCTAACTGAAGAACCTTTAGTGCTTTTCTATAGTATTAAGCCTTAGATGTCAAATATACATCGGATTGGTTTCTTCTTTAAATTATAAAAAAAATATGAATGGTATTATAATGTTATACTAAAACTAAAACAATGGAAAAACCCTTAACATAACATGTAAAAAGAAAAAAACATATCTTAAGTGTGCAGAATAACATAAGTGGACTTTGAATGATTAACTGCCGCTTTGAACGATTACGTAATTGTGGCATCCATAATTGTAATTGCGATTAGAAATTCGATTAATTGTGCAGCCCTACTGGATGGTCATCCAACCATTTCTCACTATGACTAAGAGTTTCAGACTGGTTTGTTGCTGGATGCCAGCAGCTGTCTCAGGCAGCACAAGCTGCAACTCATGAGTGTGTTATTTGATCTGACTGGAGTGAAGCAGTGATTCAGCCGTAAGCAGAGAAAAATGCAATTAACCAGGCCCTGGATTAGCGTTTCATCGCTGCTGTACAGTTGTAGAGACAGAAAGAGGGAGCGAAAGAGATAATAAGGATAGAATGTGAGTGGGTGTGGATGAAAAGAGAAAAATATTAATGCAATAGTACAGTAGATATCGTGGAGAGATGACTGATACTATACTTAAAGAGATTGTTCACCCAATTTTTATTTATTTATTTTAAATCTTTCAAATCATTTACTCATTCCAAACCTGTATGACTGACATTCTAGCATCAAACATAAAAGGAGATATTTAGCAGAATGTCCAAGATACTTCATAAAATGAAAAGGGATGAAGAGCAGAAAGTCATACAGGTCTGGAACAACATGAAGGTGAGCAAAAGGCAAAAGTTTCATTTTTGGGTGAACTATCGCTTTAAAAGGAAGCACCTCAATTGCTAAAAACATAAGCAACAAAGTTATGTCTGTCAAAAAGAGGAAGGAATGACAACAAACCAGTAATCATGACAAAACTGGTGAGTTCCTACACGTTGATGCTCACAGTGTATCTATTTAAGCAGTTATAACATATGATAATGTACAGTATGCATGTTTGGTGTAAGGTGATCCACAAAATTAGCAGCAAGACTTCCAGCTGTGTGACCAGGTCATACTCGACAGATGGTGTCTGAAACGGTAGGAAAGGGCATATTTGTGTATTTGTGTGTATACTATGTCGTCACATTCCTTTAATACACCGTGCATGGTGTGTGTATTTGTTTGTAATTTTAAATGTGTGTGTGTATGTTTGTTTGTTGGCTGCCTAGAGGTCACTGGAAGCTGAGCTGCTAAAAATAAGCAGAGCAGGTCTGACAGGGCAGTGATTCACATCCACAGCAGTGCCATATTTCCTCAACAAACTCGCACAGCAAGTGACCCCTGATCTCCCTTTCTCTCTCCCTCCCTCTCTCTCCAAATGTCATTTGAGCATTATTCAAAGTCTGGAGTGAAAACCAAATTGCATTGGGCAATGCAAAGAGATTTTGTCAGTGGACAACATAAGCCAAGACTTTAAAATGGAAAAATCTTCATAATTTATGACCATAACACGGGCAGTTTCTATTTAAATTCTGAATAAAAACATTAAGGATAACATTAATATAAATGTAATTATTATTATTGCTGTTATACAACAACAACAAAAGAGAATGAAAGAAATGTATATTAATAAACAGTATTATTATTATTATTAGTAGTAGTCCATTAATAAACAAAAAAGAGAAAGAAAGAAATAGTAGATCAGCATTAATTTGCAAGTTAAAATAAAGTGAATATTGCATTGCCTTTATTCCACAAAGCAAAACTATATACATTTGCGCGTGCACACACACACACACTTACTTACTTGCAAGGTAGGATGCGGACCACATCGTTTAGCTGATAACCTTCAATGCACACAGCACAATGATTAAAATCTGGCTCTATTTCCTGCAAGACACGAACACACAAAAAAAAAGAATAAAGATGAGCCTTTTCATGAGTAAAGATATAGTGAAAAATTGAATTGTCAACATTAGAAGTATCATTAGGACACAGATGCAGGGTACATCAGGGCAGTTTTAGGATCATTTGCCAGTCAAACAAGAATAGGACTATGTCAAATGGCAAGAACTAGCAAAAATCATTTTATCAGAAGCCAAAAAACAATAAATGACCACTGACCACATTCCAAGCAAGATGTTGCAAAAATTGTTTTTAAAATTATGTGCAGCTGCATTTTTGACCAATGCCACTCAGCACCACACCACAGAAATAGATACCAAGTGATCATTGCAATGTTCTGCTGCTTATCACTGGATGTCACAAGGTCAAAAAACCTTGAACCCCCCCCCCCAATTCAATATAACTACACAAAAATAGCAATTTCAAAATATTACTTTTTTATCATTATTATTTCAATGATAATCAATATCAATACAGAAATATAATGTACAGAAAAAACTCTTAATATAACTCTCTTTAGGACCCTCGGACTTTAATCTTCCCTACTATTTCTACTTCAGCATCACTATCCCATTATTATTAAATATGTATGCTGGCCTTATGACACCTATCTGTGAGAAATGGGAATAATGCAGGTGTGAACTTCTCTTTAAACTCTTGCCAATATGCTTTGAGTACCTGCATTTCGCTCTGTATTGATCTGATCTTTTGACCTCCTCCCTGCCTCGTCCTTGTAATCATCTTGCCCAGTTATTCTCAAGTGCACCATTTAAGGTTCAGATACCACACTCATACACTTGATTATGAAGTGAAACTAATAGTAATTTTTAAAAATAGATTAGAGATTAGATTAAAATGGTCTAACTACAGCAATCTGTACAGTTACAGTATCAAAGTATGTAATATACATTGTGTATACAGTATTGCATGCAGAATGCTGTTATTATAACAGAGCACACTGCACATAATAATCTCTTCCTAACTTCTGACAGTCCAATCAAACAATACGTCAAGGCACAAAAAAGGATATAAATGCATAATAACTGTTTTTATGTATGAGGCGATCACTAGTTGTCACTAGCTGAATTAAAAATGCAGAGGAAACGTTGCCTACTTGGAGGAGTGACCAGTGATCTGCATTTCTACACATGCATTTTGTTTTTTTATGAAAATAATAAGCTTCAGTGTTTTTTATAACCCTTTATTACCTATTAAGAAAAGCCTGATTATGACAAAGCTATGAAAAAATAAGCTAGTGTAGTGATGTTAATGAATTGATATATGCCTATTTATTATTTAATTTGATTTTAGCAATAAACAGCATTGTTAACTAAAATGATAAAAATCGTTTTTGGACATTCAAATAAAGCTGAAATAAAATAAAATAAAAACAGATGAAAAACTTAAAACTTCAACAAAAATGAGACATTTTGAATTTGCAACTAACTGAAATAAAGCTTTAAAACTAAAGTCTTACTACAAAAATTATATATATATATAAAAAAATTTTTTTAATTAATTTGCTAATGAATTTCCTATAAGACTAAACATTATGCAGGAAACCAAGCAGCAGCAACAGTTTCAAATACTATTTATATATTATCATAGCATAAATATACCTCTAGTAGCAGGCAACGCATCACTCAGGCAGCTAACCAGACCTCCCTGGGCATAGAGCCATTTAGAAAGTGACAAAAATCATCCTAGATTTTATATCACACTCTGCCCTGTTCTTCCTGGAAGCATCTTCTCTACTATAGATGCTATTTCCGTCACCTGGCAGTGTCCTGTCTACTCTGCATGGTCAAGGTCATGTTGTGGTGAGTGGTGTTCAGTTTCTAATGGGGCCCTCTCAGCGTGAGAGTCATCGACTTTGGTCCGGTCAGTCCCTGCAGAGGGACATGGCTGATACTCAGAGGCTTAGAGGCTTCAGCCAAGGCAGTGAAGCTGTAAGGATGCTTTATCACTGGAAAATGTGTCATAACTGACCAAAAATGCATATGTGATCACATGAAAAGGAAAAGGAAAAAGGAGAGAGAGCGACAGAGGCAGAGAAAAACGGACAGATGTTCTCTCTCTCAGATGAAAGGTTTCAATTTCTTGCAGCACTTCTCCAAGGCCACTAATGTTTTATTCATGGCTGATGTGAGCTGACCTTGACAGGGCTATCATACACACTGACTGGCACGGGTCCACTCTTTTTCCAAACCAAACAGCTGTGACGTTTCACGACCCTTCTTACCTCATCGCTCACCTGACAGTCATTCACCTTTACACAGGTCAATGTCTGTCTTTGGACTCTGTGGTACATTCAGCAAGATTATTTTCAGAGATGAGCCAATGGCCAATTATTGATTAAATTAAGACCTTGAGCAAAGGTTTAATATGCATAATATTATTATACAAGTAATGCTCCACTATATGCATCGATATTCTGTGCGTTAGTTTTTGTAAAAATCCCTAGATCCCTACTTAATTATAAAAAGGACAAAAAGCAGTGCAGTGTTGTTTGTTTTGCTGTAAACAGAAAAACTGATTTCAACAGTTTAACCTGCTCTGAGTTTGCTTTTTTAAATTATATTTAAAAAATGTAATTTAGTTCTGTGATGGCAAAGCTGAATTTTCAGCAGCCAGAATATATGCTGATTTGGTGCTCAAGATAGAGACCTGCACTCCCGCGGGAGTACCGCGGGACCCAATGCAACAGGGTGCGGCGCGGGACAACTCTGGATGGGCAAGTGCAGGTGCGGGCGGGAAGACACTCGTGTGTGTGCGGGATGCGGGAGAATAAAATGATTTGCGGGACTCACGCAAAATAGAAATTATCTAAATATAAAGTGTCTAAAACATATAAATTGTTATTTATCTGTTGTACAAAAGCAAAAAGAACAACTAATATTAACATTAAAATGATTGATATGCACAAGCTAGGCATAGTTTCTATTTATAACACGTGTTTAGAGGGTAGGGCAATGTAGCCAATCACAGACTCAGCTGTTTTTTTTTCTAGAACACAATGGCCAATCAGAGGTGATTAAGTTAGTATCTACTCACCGCAGCGCTGAAATTGCCTGCTCACAAATCCTCTCATTTTAACACATGAAGTGTAGACATTGTGAAAGATTCATTGTGCATATATTTTATTGTGTTATAACAGAGCTTTATGAGATGGAGATTAACTGAGATGTCAGCTTTTAGTGATCATAAAGGAAGCGCTGCTCGCATTCTGCCATGCCAAACCATGCACGCAGCAGCAGCACATGCTTGCTTTTATGTTAAAAATAACAGTGGTTTGTTAATGTTGATGCTTAGCCTAAATAACAAATATTTTATCGGGATATAATAATAACAAAATGTTTATGCTGGGATGTTGTGGAGCTTAGGAGATGTTACAGAACCATTTCATGTAAATTTCTTCGATGTACTGAAAAAGTCTATATAGATTACTTTTATGCGGGCTTTTGCGGGCGGGAGCGGGACAAAACATGAATGTCGCGGGCGGGAGCGGGACCAGATAAGATATATGTCTGCGGGAGCGGGCGGGCGCGGGACAGAATCTTGCAGCAGCGGGCGGGCGCGGGACAGCGCAGGTCTCTAGCTCAAGAAGCACTTATTACCATCAATGTTGAAATCCGTTGTGATGCTTAATATTTTTATGGAAGCTGTCATACATTTTTTAAATACTTCGATGAATAGAAAGTTCAAAAAAGAAAATAGAAATGATTTGTAACATTATAAATGTCTTTACTGTCACTTATCATTAATTTATTAAATCCTTGATTTAATTTCTGATTTATTTTAAAAATTATTATGCATTCTATTATGCAAGCAATGATGCATTTACTGTGCATTAGTTTTGTTAAAACCAGTACATGCAGTGCAGTGTTGTTTGTTTTGCTGTAAACCAAAACAGGGATTTCCACAATTTAACCTGCTCTGAGTTTGCTTTTTCTAAAGTAATAATAGTGAGCAGATACGTATCACCATCCAGCAATTTCCAAAGGCGCCGCATTTTGTTTATGCTCTTTAGGCGTCTGCTTTTAAACCGCATGCACTCTGCAGACTGTAATGCATGGGTTGCTGCTAGACTGAAACCTGGATTTAATGTAAAAGCGATTGTAACAACTTGTATTTTTCAGAAGTTAATACAGTTGTTGAACGCATAAAGAATGTGATTAAGCACTCAGAAGAATAGTGACAACTATATTTAGCTGCAGTATGTACGTGTCCAGTGAGACCTTAATGGAATACGGAGATGCATTATGAATTGAGAATTACACAAACAGTTCCATAATAGGACACAGTGCTGTTTACTATAATCTGGCGAACATGACATAAATAGAGTCAAGCCTGAGAAAAGTAAACAAGCAATGACGTCAAAAGACCTCACCTTGTCCCCTCTTTTTACTGTCCTGGTAGTCAGCTTGCTAATGGCCTTCTTGGCAGCATCGCCCAGCCGTCGCTATAGTAACAAAGGACAGAGAGGAGAGAGTAATTCACATAATTTTAGATTCACAGCTTGACTTAATGAAACAGGAAATTAAAATTACTAAACAAAGCTGGGGAATAAAAGACTGAACAGCAGTAAAAAAAAATTAGCAATTCAGATTTTGATAAACAAGGTAGAGCTGAATAATAATGCTGAGGAGAAAGCATTAACAATATTAATTGTGATAAAAGCAACATATCATAGTGTCTTATCAGGATTCAGGATTGTATAAAGCAAATTAGACCGGGTTAGTGAATGGCCTGACAGAGAGGGTCATAAATAAAAGACTCTAAGTGCAGCCTGTAATGGGCAGTTCATTGTATGTGTGTGTTTATGAGTGTTTTTTTCTGAGATGTCCTCTGTCTTCATTCTGCCAGTTTATTGCTAAATAAACAGCTCAGTGATTTACCTCCGACAGTTTACAGGAAAAACCAAAGGTTTTTCTGTGTGTGTGTGTGTGTGTGTGTGTGTGTGTATGTGTGCGTGCATGCTATATTTGCAAGGGTCTCAAAATGTCCTCACAAATAAAGACACAAATAAACCTCTTAAAACTAATTAATGAGGACGTCTTCACAAGTACAGTTCATAAAATGGCCAAATGATGTTTTAATTAAAATCTAAAAATGCCAAAGGGGTTAGGGTCAGTCTGCACTAATTATAATAAGCTTAATTAAAAAACAATAGAAGTCAATGGGAGGTGGTACAGTCTGAGTGTGTGCCTGTGTGTGTAAACGTTTGCGATTACATTTAGGTTAGACGCCACCAAAACACTAAAATGACCTGTTAATCAGCTAAATAGTCAGTCCATTTACTCTACCATTCAAAAGTTTTGGGTCAGTAAGATTTTTAAAAAGTTTTTGAAAGAAGTCTCTTATAAATCACCAATTATGCTTTTATTTGATTAAAAACACATTAAATAGTAATATTGTGAAATATCATTAGAATAGTTATTAGATCATTCAGAAATCATTCTAATATCAATTTGGTGCTCAAAAACATTTCATGTTATAATCCATGTTGAAGTTGCTCTGCTTAATATTTTTGTGGAGACAGTCATACATTTTTAGGATTCTTGGATGAATAAAGTTTAAAAGGACAGCATTTATTTGAAATAGAAATGTTTTGTAACATTATAAATGTCTTTACTGTCACTTTTGAATAAATAATAATAATAATAATAAAGACAAGACAAACAATGTTTACATTAGATTTTGAAATTGTTTTGACATCATAATATTTACAGATGTATTCACAAGATTGAATAAGCAATAATCACACTAGCAAAGATGTTCAGAGCAAAATTAGGTTAATAGGAAGAAAGCGACGTGCAAATGAGGTTATGCTGAAACTGTTTATGACTTGCCCCCTTAAAAAAAAGGGTTAAGTAACCTTACACATGGTCAGGTTATTAGGCATAATCTATGCAAGGCCTTGCATTTAAATGCACTCAGTGTTTTTATTTTAATCCTCCATAGTATAAACTGTGTCTACTACTTTAAATCTAACTGGTAAATAAGAGATTCTGATTTTACATATTTCAAATTTATACCAGCAGCTGTTAATACAGCTTGATTAAAGCCTGTTTATGCCAGTAATAAATTCAGAGGTCTGGTAAAAGTGAAAGGGCTGAGAGACATCAATACTACAGTGGAGTAATGAGGAGTCTGTGTGTGTGGAACTAGACGCTGAAGAGGCAGAATACACCAAACACACACACACACATTTCTGCATTAAGATTTCATGAGCTGGGAAGGCTGTGCCATTTACTACTAGTGTTGGGGTGTACGAGTTTGGGTACTCGGACTCGTACTCGAGTCCAGTCTCGAGTACAGTTTTTTAAAGGACTCGGACTTGTCACGGACTCGGATGCATTTTTACTTGGACTTGACTAGGACTCGAGTCCTACCGAGTCCAGGGACAAGTTGGCGGAAATGTCACTGACTCAATGCATTATCACAAAAGGGATATTCAGTATTTGTATGTGTTTTTAAGTCTTGTCCAGTAGGCTACTTGAAAGCCGACGGGTTTCTGTCACAGACTAACGCGCCTCTCAGTCAGCGTTCAAATGCCGAGTTCTTTCGCTTTAGTTCTCTTAAATTCTGTTATTGCTACACACTTACACAAAAAGTTATGTCAAAAGTCCCGTTTTGTAGACTATTCATGTAAATGCAGTCGTTTTGTCTTAAGTGAACTTGAACAGTTGGGAGAAATACTGATGTGTTAAAATATTTGATCTATGCGTCAGATCTTAAAGCAACCGCGTAAACCATGCAGCCGCCGACTGCGTCATAAATGTTAAGCAAACAAAAGAAAAGGAGAAAATCACTCACTGCTCTCGACTGAATCACTTTAACTTTAATAAGAATGTATACGTGAAGATTATTTTGACATTTATTACTTTATGAAATGTCTTTAGTGGGCTATTTCTAGAAGCCTTTACTAGGCTACTATCTGAAAAACTTTTTTAAAAATGTAATTTGTATTTTTGAGTAATATATTTATTTATCATTTAGCTTGTAAGTAATACTTGGAGTGTTTACTTGCCTTCAGTAAGCTTGAGAATGTTTTATTACATTAGTTTATTTTTTGCTTTTGTATTAGTCGCAGTTTTTTGCTTCAAAGAAAAATATTTTTTCTAACATCTTTGCGGCAATAGTTTTCATGGGTCCAAAATCACCTTGGGCGTGCATTATTTTCTAATAATTCAACGGCCCATCATCAATTATTCCTTACATAATGTAATTTATTGTTATTAATGTAACTATAAATGCATTCAAAAATAAAACAGGTGCGAGTTGCCTGTGACTTATGAAAAGTGTAGGGCTTTTATACACAGTGTGTGCCATTGTACAGACCAGGTTTATCCCTCACAACTTCATTTTCATCCAAGAAAAAATTCAAAATGCCCTGTCTAAGGGGTCCGTGTACTTTGGCGTGCATTTATTTTTCTTTTCTTTTTTAACCCAGAAATTAAAATGCAGTTTATTCTTGAATGGTTCAAACGCTGATGCATAGAATAAGCAGACACAAACTAATTTTGATTATTCAAAATTCATATTTCATTAAAAATCGTAAAAAATGATATAACGCTTGTTTTTTATTGAGATAAAAGGTGCATTTTCTGCTCTTAAGGTCCCATTCAACAAGATACCTACTCCTTTGCCCCCACCCTTGAATTTATACATTTACTTTAACGATTATTAAAGTCAAGTCCCACCCTTTAATTTTTTCACATTCTAAAACCTGCTTCACTCTGAAATATTTCACAATACATAAATCAATTCAGCCATAACTTCTGTTACATGACTAAGTTTGCTAAGCTAAGCAGGACACTAATTATTAAAAAAAAATCAAAATGGCAAGATGCAATAGAGGTTTGCTTTTGTTACATTTAAATGGACATTGCGTTTTTCTAGTTGTAAAGTTTAAAACAATGTTAAAATACTAATAAATAATAGAGTTTCGTTGGACTCGGACTTGAGTCCGACTCGGCCCATTTTGGACTCGGACTTGTCTCGGACTCGATTGGTTAAAGACTCGGACTCGACTTGGACTCGACTTAGGTGGACTCGAACCCAACACTATTTACTACTATCTTTGAACACACAGGAAGTTCTTGAAGGTCAGATAAGCCTGGTTAATATCAGAGAGGTCTTTAAAAACCTTGCCAGATTTTTCGTTCAGATGCAAGCTTGAGGATGAGAGTGTATCTGTGTTTTGTTCAAAAGAGCTGCAGAAGAATACTGAAGCAGAAGTACAGGCTGGTATTTCAGTGTACTGTACTGTATGTTGTGTAAGACCTGACTGCGGTCCCGAGCGCTGGTGTCTCTGATCTTCTGGATGAAGTAGAAGATCAGCCAAGCAGAGGAGATAATCATCAGTACGATAAAAGAGATGGAGACGAACACCAAGGAGCCGCGGTTGATGTTCTTGGGCAGTCCTCGTGACCCCACCATCACGGATACCAACACAGTCTGGTTCTTCTCCAGAAAACCCAGAATCTCTTTTCCAAAGGACTCCGTGATCATTACTGTCACTATGTCTCCAGTGCCTTTGGAGAAATAAGTTATATTGAGATATAGGATATTTTGAGCCAAGAAAATTGTGTGAAGGAAAAAAACAACAACAAAACTAACAAACAAAATGATAAACAAAAATGATTAATAATAAAATAATGAATAAAATAATACTACTAGTAGTAGGAATAATAATAATAACAACATGCATTATTATACATTATATATTATATATATATACACATGTATTATTTTGCAGCACCTTTTATATATCAAAAGGCAGCTCAAATTAAATTGTTTGCATATTTTCATGTGATGGCAACATGTCAAAAAAGCTTGACCCGTAAAACTGTTTGAAAATTTAGATATTTGGACATAAATATTAGTATTGCAATTTTACAGTAAAATAAAATTGTGTGTATTACTTATTTTAAAGTATGTATTTTACAGTTTTATCGCAAATTATTACAATATAGTTCTTATTTTGTTTAAAATTTGTATTTTATATTAAATCAAAATAAAAATTATTTTTATAGTCATATTGAATTGGTCAAAAAGAGTGGGAATAAGGCCTATAAAAACTCAAATGGAAAGAGTTTTCTGAAATGGTTAAGTATTAACCATTATTAAGTATATACGTATAAAGTAACTAAAATCTCACACAGACACACCGATGTAGTCCACTTCAGTTTAATACTCCTGATCTGACCTATTAAACATTCACAGTCACACAAATGGCACAGTAATCATGCCGACACAAAATGAGGACAAACAAACACCCCGTCCATCCCCCCCACCCTCAGGAAAAGGCAGCAAAGGGGGCGAGGCCATGCCGCGCTGCTTTAGAGAAGAGGAAGAGAAAACTAGGGGTGCACGTAAAACTCTATTCATATATGAATCGCGATTCTGTCTTCTAACGATTCTAATGGATTCACAGGTTTCAAAATCAATGTTCTAAAGCAGCAGTTCTTAATACTGCACGTCCCCCTGCTCTGCACACGCTCTGCATCTCTCTTCCTCTCTCTCATTCAGCTCAGCTCTAAAAATGAACTGTTACATACACTCACACACTAGCTAACCAATCACAGCCCATCGCCTATTTCTGAGGGAGGGGCTTTATAAAAGAAGGAAATGATCAGCGTGTTTCCCAGAGAAGGCACAGAGCGGTGTGGAATACAAGTAAATTATGTGAAAAATAATGCGTTTTTTTAAAAATGAAGCATTAACACATGTTAGACTGCACCCCATAAACACAATCAAACCTAGAAAAAAAACACTGAACTACCCCATTTGACTGGCTTTTTCCAATGACGGGTCTACATGCCTTTAGGGTCTACAAGGCACAAATCTACTTTCACAGCTTTGTAGCAGCAGATAGCATGGCAGGGCTGTGAAAGAATCAGACCCAGGTTATACAAAATCTCACGAAAGGACCACGTGGAGCTGTTGGTTCTTAAAGCATTACGCTGATTACAAAGAAATGTGAAATATAGTCACAGGCACAGCTTTACTGAAATATAGAAAAGGCACAGCTTGACAACTTTAATGCTAACTATGAGAATGTATATAAGAATATGATCTTGTACAAACGGTGCATTTGGACATTGTCCTTTGCACAAAGATGAGTTATGGATCATTTCAAATCATGTGCAATCTCAAAACATTAACATCAGGATACATATATACTCTCTCTCTGGTAAGCGTATACATCATTCGGAACTGCAAAGTTCTATTGTTTTCTATTGCTTTTTGTTTAAAAAAAAGATTATAAAAATGTCAATAATTATTGATACCGTACAAAATGAAACATTATATTGTTTATACATTTTTTAGCTATATTGCACAGCCCTATGGTACATAAAGGTTTGATTCCCATAGGTGGCAGAGGAAAAAGTCCCTGAATGCTAACTATGAGAATAAATCATGCAATCCTGCTATATTTAAACATCTCATCGATATTCTGATAGCGCTGCCATGACTCACCATCTCCCCTTATCTTCCCCTTTTTCCAGTTCCTCCCTCAGCCCACCACTTTATACATCCTGTCACACTTCTGATAAGCTTTAGGTTGAATCCTATTGTGCCCTGTGCATCCTAAGCTCTTGGATATGCGCCAAGCTAGAAGTTGTGTGTGTGGAGAGAGTGCACCAGCAGAGCAACAGTGACTACACTGGCGGGTGGATTCCAGTAGGCACAGTCCTTCACCGTGTCCGAATGTTCTCAAAAACCAAACAAACATGCTTTGTCACACTCTCACTGCAGGTTTATAACCCCAAGACAAATTATGAAATACCTACATACACAAAAACCACTTTCAAAGCTTGATAAACAGAAGAAGTTCTAACCGGCAGACATTTGAAAATATAACATTATTTAGCAAAAATCCTGAATGCTCATTCTCCTCAAGGCTGCTGTTTTGGTTCTATACAACTGAGAATCATCCATATATTTTCTCATGAAAAATCCATGCATTGACAACCTCTAGTCACATGTGCTACTAAAAGCAACACACCTCGACAAACCACACTCACAGTGAGCAGGCAGCAGAGAATGAGTGAGGAAATGTTCATACAGGATGTGTTCTTGCATTCAAAATCAGCTAGACAGGGCACCACATAAATGGAGCAGAACACAGAGGTTTCGAGAAGTTTCTTAAAAATGCACCCACGGCGGAAGACATTTTAAATAGTCGCGATGCAACCGTCAGACAGACTAACAACTCAACTCAAAATTGTAAAAAAAATTATAGATGTAGAATTATAAATAGTGCCACTAATGACATCACTGTTAGATATTGCAATACTCAAAATCAAATTAAACTGCATATTACAATTTGATCGACTATCTAACAGGACTACAATACATTTCAAAAGCATGATTAATGTTACACGTGAACCTACACTGGTCTCACGTAGGCATGAGCCAGTATGAGATTCTGACAGTATGATAACCGTTGATAAAAAAAAATATCACGGTATCACGGTATTGTGATTACAGCTCTAAAATATGTTATTTTTAAATGTCTGGGTAAAAAAAACAAAAAAAAATTCCCCACTGAACACACTATATTTTATTTTTAAGGAACATATAGAACATTTTGGAACAGTAAACATGTCAGGCTAAATAATTAAAATAAATAATTTAATTCTTCTTAATCAAGTGCAGTCACTTAAGTGAGCCTAAACCTGCAGCTCAACAACAATCAGAACATAAATTATTCTCTGTAAAAAAAAATAAAAAATCCCTATAAATGAAAAAAATGCAGTCACTTAAGTGAGCCTAATCCTGCAGCTCAATAATCAAAAATATAATCAAAACATAATTTCTGTAAAAAAATTAAAAAATAAATAAATAATACAGTCATTAAACTTGCAGCTCAACAAGGTTCTTGGAGACATGCTCGATTTCTACACATTCATCTTTCAGTCCAAGTTCTGATGCACAGATGCAGGAATATTCACCTTTCCCGGATTAAGTTTGAAGCTATGGTTTCGGAGCGGTGAGGTACGAGGATGTGTGCACATACACACATAAGGAAAGAGAGAGCGCGAGTGTCTCTCACATACACACACACACACGCGGTCTCTCTGTACAACACTCAAACAGTGGCAAAGTTAGTTTTTTGTTTTTTTTAAATGCGTGATTTTGAACAGATGTAAATGATGGCAGGAGGCTTAAAAGTATAGACGTGATACCAGCTAAATGTAATTATTGTACTAAATCGCAGAAAAGTACAGTACGTAATTTAGACTGCTATTCCCCGCTCTGTGAAGTAACGTGAGGGAGGAAACTAGTTGACGTTAGCTAGTTAATTAACCTGTTATCTGCCTCAGTAGCAAGCCAAATAGTATTTATTTAAACGTTGAAACAAACGGCGGGTGGGTCTCTGTCTTGATCAGGGGTGAAAGAGGGAGAAATGAAGATAACACAGATATATAGTTTATGTACGACCTGGAAGTATTTATTTAGCGATTGGTGCTAAAACGTCATCTGTATGGAACATCATTGTGTACGGAACATAGTCTACGTTACCCGAAAAATTCCCATATGACAGACTTCATCTTTTTCGACGGGGGAAAAAGTTCCATGGATTCACATCCTTCGGCCATCCTACACACAGGTGACTCTGACCGCTCGCACCAACCGGAGGAGGAGGGGTCTTGTGACTCGTTACGCTCTTCGCTGCACACAACTGAGGGAGTCCTACACTTTCCATCTTTGACGTCACGTAAAAAAAACTGCGCATACCGCAGGAACGGTATAACGAAAAATTTTAGTGGTTTTGAAACCGTGACTTTTCCAAACCACGGTATACCTTGAAACCGGTTATCGTCCCATGCCTAGTCTCACGGTTCGGTTCAGTTGCGATTATCATGTCATCGATTCAGTTCAATTCGTTATCACGATGCATCACAATGCATTGACGATGCACTGCATCCTCAATGTTCAATTTAACTTCACATGTATACAATTTTGTCAATAAATACAAGCAGTCAGATATATGAACTGTACCTGACGTGGTTTCTCAAGTTAGTGGTATTATCCCCTGCATATTTTATTGTGCGTGACATGATTTACACACAGCATGTCTCTTCTCCAGGTCGTGCTTACCAGGTTGTTCATAAAAGCCGAAATGTGCCCAGATGTCGGCTTTTAAAGTAGTTGGAGCATTTTTAATTACTCGCACTTGCGTCTCGCCTCCCTTTGCTATTAGGCGCGTTCGGCTTTTAGCGAGCTGTGCAGGATGAGTGTATGACATCAACCGTGAGAGCGATTCGAAAGCATAAGGGTCCATCTGCTCTCTTATCGCTCTCGCTGTACTTGATGTCATACACTGATCATTCTGTGCAGCACGCTTCAAGCCGAACATGCCTAATGTATGCTACCGCAAACAAAGCATGTATGCAACAAATGACGTCAGAAAAGCATCAGTACGTTATAATAGGTTATGGTCGGTTACTGAATCAACACCGAATCGTCCTCGTCTGCATCGCGATGCATCGTAGAAACGATTAACTTCGACACCCCTATACACTTGCATAATTCATAATAAACAATCCATAATGTATTATATGTAGCTTGATATACTGTGGTGCAGTTGTATCATGTCCGGTTACCATCTGTGTGGTCTGAGTAAACATTAATGGAATGTAATGGGCATTGAAATTACTGTGTCAGCGGTTGCTTTGACCAAAATGTTTTTTTTTAATGAAACAAATAAAAAAAACAAAAATATGTTTTTGCTAAGCACAGCAACATTTTCCCCCAAACTGTCTGCTGTCCACTGCTCAAAACTAGGGGTGGTACGATACCATTTTTTCAGAACCGATCCCGATCCGATCAATACCAATCCGATACCAGCACAATTTTATTTATTTATTTTTCTATACCTCAGTGCATGTTGACCTGATCATCACTCTTTTGTATGTTACACACAATCTACTAAATATAGACAACTTCAATATAAAGAAAAATAACAAATAAAAAAATATATAATCATAATATATGAGAAAAATACTATTATAAACTAGGTTAGTGGATAATTCAGCAGCAAAAGTTACTCAACAAAAATGATGACTTTCTGGTGCTTTCTAATGTTTTTGTGCCTTTCGTAAGGCTTAACAATAACACAGAATAGTATACGCACAATATCGGATTTGGATCGTTCTCTTCTGACCGATACCCCGATCCAGCAGAAAGTGGCAGTATAGGAGCGATACCGATACTGAATATCTGATCGGCGCACCCCTACTCAAAACTCTCCTAGTGTAAGTGACAGCTACACACACACATGCACACATTTGCATATGTGGTTTACAGGGACTCCATAGGCATAATGGTTTTTATACTGTACAAATTGTTTTTTCTACCCACTTAACCTACCCCTCACAAAACTTTCTGCATTTTTAGATTTTCAAAAAAACACTGTTTAGTATGATTTTAAGCCATTTGGTTCATGGGGACACACACTTGTGTCCTCATAAACCATACATCAGAACACATTCACACAAAAGCCTTTTGACTAGTTTTATTCTGCAGTTAGCTTTACTTTGCAAATTTTGCTGCAGAATAAAACTGTTTTTCTATTGTACTGACACACACACACACGATGCACACCCTCCCATTTAGTCCTTGGACAATGATTTTTCCAGATAATGTACCTCACTGCATTAAAATATGCTGCAAGCATTACAAAGACCTTAAACTAACCAGACAGATGCATCTGTAAAATCACCATGCTCTGTCAAGAAATAACAACTACCACTTCCTATATTTTTGACCAAGACAAAAGATTTTTGCAGTCCAATAAAAACATCCAAAAACAGTCATGTAGTGTTAAAATTACTATAACAGCTTTGAGTCCTGTCTAATGGAATTGACCATAGAAGTTGGAAAAGTCTGCATGACACTAAGTACACGGCGCAGATTAGAAGGAGAAAGTTGCATTAGTCATAATGAAAATACATTGATTATGGCACTCACCTTCATGAGCCATCGTGACTGTGTCCTCTTTGGTGCTGTTATTGTAGATAATGACAGCCGAGGCATTAAATGCAGCTGCCTTAAGGATCTTCTCCTTGAAGGTGCACTTCCCTCTCTGCATAATGGCCACCCAGTGTGTGGTTTTCGGAGGGACTACAAACCGGATGTGTGGACAGCAGCCTTGCAAATCCACCTCTAAAAAGAAGAAAAGAAAGCCTCAATTCCTGTCTTCATTTACATTTTGTACAGCACACAATACAAGTGACACTCATTTGCTCATCCTGTTTCGAGTTTTTGAATTTGCTCATCCTGTTTTGAGTTTTTGCAGCAATATAGTAATACATACTTTTTATATATACTGTATATACTATGTAGAAATATAGCCTAGACTGCAACAGAGATAGAGATATAGACAGCAATATAGACATATATTAATTTAAGTCACTTTATTTTACATTTGATTCATACTTCACAAAAGAAAAAAAAAACCTGGTATCAATAATTATGAAATTCTACTGGTGTTGACTATTAAAATTTGAATGTCATCTCAAGACCTGCTGTATATCCTTATGCGCTAACACACAAAACTATTTAATATTGTATACCACTATAAAGTACAGTTCAGAAGTCAGTATGATTTTCTTGAAAGAAATTGATACTTTTATTCAGCAAAGACACATTAAATTAGACATTTCTAAAAATTGACATTTCTAAAGATATAAAAGATTTATATTTCACATGGCCTAAATGTTGTTCTTTTGAACTTTCTATCCATCGAAAAATCTTGAAAGACCTTATCTCAGCTTCAACAAAAATATTAAGCAGCACAGCTGTTTTCAATATTAATCATAATATGAAATGTTTCTTGAGCACCAAATCAGCATATTAGATTGATTTATGAAGCATCGAGTGACACTGAAGACTGCAGTAATAATTCATAAAATATTCTAAACAGATCCACAATAATCTAAAGAATCCAAAACAAAACGTCTTAAACTAAATAAACTTAATTATTAGTAGTTTGTGCTTAAATGCACCCTCACAGTCACTGTTGACTTGAATGAGCTCTGATGAGTTGGGCTGTGCAAACTAATGCCCTGTCACTTCCAAACACTGACTCATACATCGAAGCCGCCTGGCCTGCTCTCGAGGAGAGGTGGAACCCCCACAGGAAGGAAGAGCAGGTCACGATAATTGCTTGACTTTAAAAGGTAATACAAAGGCTTTTGCTTGTTCCAGCACCCAGCCCACCTCCCCAGCAAAGCCCACCATCCTTCCCTCATGGCATTCTAGCAAGACTTGTGTACTAAGCGCAAAAATGCAAGAAGGGAGAATACAGAAAGAAATCTCTTTACCATCAGGATCACACACACACACACACAAATGCAAGCACTTTCACATATCTGGGCACGCTCACATAGACACAGAAGATGAAGCAGAATCAAATATTCATCAGTCTGCACCATCAACACTGAGATAATGTTGGTGCTCAGGTGTGGGTGTGTGTGTGTGTGTGTGTGTGTGTGTGTGTGTGTGTGTGTGTGTGTGTGTGTGTTTATTGAGGTGGAGGAGCAACAAGATGAGACGAGCTAATATTGTAGAACCTATGAGCACCATAATATTAGTATCAGCATAAATGATTCATGCAGCTGACCTGCAGCAGCCAATGAGTAGAGCTGAGATAGTTGTAATATGAATCCAAAAATCACACCTGATATTAAAGCATAAAAACAGCCTGATGAGAAAATAACAAATGCTCACAGGAGGAAATGAATTCACAATGATATATTTCCACAAAAGAACCCTTAACAACAAAATAAAAAGATAAATATAGAATTTAATTTTGGCATTTCATATACTGATTTCATGCTTGCATTCATCAAAATGTGTTCATTAAATGAAAATGTTTAAATAATTAATGCGCTGTAATTGCAGTTAATACTAAAAGTCCTTTAAGGTCGAGGTTGGTGTTGCAGTGTTATCAGTGCTGAGAGGGCATATTTGGGTTCGTAAGGAAAGCTGGTGAAATCTGGTCTTCTATTTGATCTTTCTCCAAATTGCGTAAGGTTATATAATGAGCAACTCAATGACATCCCCAAAAAGCAAGAACACATGAAACAACCGGGACGGTTCAGTTTCAGCTTTGACATGGAAATATTCAAACTGTGAATGTGAGGGTCCTTAGCATGAGAGCTCTATTAGCAACTTGTTACCCATGGTTATATTATATTTTATTAATTGCATACATTAAATATTTTTGGTATTTTGATGTTTATTTAATGTTTTGAAAATGACAATTACACAGATCAGGGTTTTAAATTTTATTTATACGTGTCCAACATTTTGGTTTCAAGACCTGCAAAAATGTCAAGCTCTATATAAAATTAATATAAAAATAATGAGGGAAATTCCCTCAAACCTTTTTTTCACTAAAGCATGTAGGCTGAATGAGTAAACTAGAAAATATTTTCTGTGAGACTGTAATTTCACAAATGGCGCAATGCTATTGCGTCTTCCCTTTTCAAGAGAACTGAAAGCAGTACTCACGTGCTCTTTTCTGTGCTCTCACACCCAAAGCACACGTACATAGAGCTAACTCTCTGACAGCTCGCAAGTACCAATATATATATCATAATATATTTGTTCTGATCTTATTACTGTGTTTACTTGTCTTTTTTATAGCTAAAATAAATTTAAATTTAAGTTGGAAATCAAGCTTCCTTGGGCCGTGTAAACTATTGAACATTGAATTTACCCTGACCTATACCACCTTCTACATTACAGTTTTGCGATTACAAATTTTGTAACTTTTATATCTTCCTGACAATATAAATAATAATTAATACTTTGAGGAAACATTTAGGAGAGATAATAATTTCTTATTTAAAAAAAAAAAGCCTCCCTCCTCCCCCCCCCCCATTTCCCCCTTCAAATTCTGAAATCCCCCC